CGGCGCGACGACCACCGCCCTTTAACGTAAAAACATTTTGGAGATCCGGGTTTGATTGAACGCGATAGTATAATAGAGCACAACAGTGACGTAATGCTATGTCCAAATATGGACAATGTTAGAATTCTAGAATAAATTGTTACAAATGTTTCCGGGCAAATATTGATAAGTAGAGAAAGCTCTTATACAGAAAACGCGTATATAGTTCGGTTGAGGTGTGATAATAATGTTAGAAATCATGTTGGCATTGATTCATGTTTTTCGAATGTGCAAACTTGGCTCTGACAATTTTTAGAATGAAATGAGATTTTTCCACAACTACGAAAAAAGATAACACACTGGGTTCATTCCCAATCTAAGGCTCGCACAACTGACATAAACGTAACAAGTTTTCTCCTTTTTACCAAAAAAAAAAAAGATAAAACATAGTTCGTTTTACTTTCTATTTCCATTTTAAGTTAATGCAGTCAATGTGCCTAACTCAATTTGTATCCAAGAAAGCTTATGTTAGTGTCAGAGGGAAAATCTCTTCTCATCGGGGTTCTCCACACTTGTCAGGGGGGAATCTCGTCTCCGAGTCGTCTCTATATCTCGTCCCCTTGAGGTACGGGATCGGGAAAGCCTGTTAAGCTTTGCAGTCAAATAAGACACACACAACGAAATACGTTTCAACTCTCGTCTTAGTCGGTCAATCGAGCACTCTATAAGACACAGCGCCCTGGGGGAAAAATCCCCAAGACTATCGCAAGGCTGACCCAAGACTCGCCCAAGACTGTGTCAAGGCTCGCCCCAAGTCTCTCCAGGACTGCCCTCGACTGCGTCTATCGTGCTGTGCTCCCCAAGACCAACTCAAACTCTCTTTATTCATTTTCAAAACTCTAACCAATTACAATACAGTAAAAAGACTCTAGGGCGTAACCTTCAATCATAAAGCCAATCACACTAATTACTGAATACGTCATATCTTTTGATTAATCGTTCACTACATTAATAACTACGGATACCACTGAGCCAAGTTCCGTCCAAAACTTCAAATAGGCCTAAACGATGACAGACATAACACAGCAATTCGCTAATAATCAGCTAATTGAGTCGGTTAACAGATTCGCAAAAACAAATTCATGACACTAGTTTAATATTTCAGTTATTCTAAAAGGGGCTACCATTTATTGTATAATTTAATTTTTTTGACATTATAGTCCAGCGGTCAAGTCCAAAGTGTTGCTGACTTGGTAACACATCAATTGAAGCTGACTGATTCGAGGCGCCTCAGACAATGCATTACTTTGCACATTGTTTAAGCAGATTAAGGTAATCCCATATGACGATCCGATTTTACAATACACCGGGTACTAATCCACTTTTTCCTGTATTCAATAATGCGTTTCGACTTGATAACTGACACTAATCTTGTTATATATAAAGATTTGATCTCAAAGTGTGGGCAATAGGTTTCCACAGTATATTTAGATTTTGGTAGAAACACTTTCATGTTATGTTATGTTATGTTATGTTATGTTATGTTAT